CGCCAATAATCTAAAAATTTAAAAATATCGAATCAATTTGTCCAGTTTGCATCACGAAAATTTTCGCTTATCATCGCTTTTTTGCTTATAGTCCGGCGACCCTAGAAACATCTGTTACGAAATACTGACACAAATGACACAAAGTGAAAGACATTACAATATAAAATTATACAGTTCTTTTGCTTCGCCAATCTTCAACCTTCCCACATAAATAGACAAGAACCCTCACACCCCCGTTGTTCCTAGCATAAGTTGATGTCGGATTCGAAATCTACGTATGTTATTTATCCAGAAAACAACATTTTTACTTCCTACCCCACTGACGAGGAAGCATTAAATATGCGAAAAATTTCTAAAATGGCATACCTACCGTAATTTCACACAACAATAGTCCTGCCAAACAACTATGGTGTCAAAGCAGTACATTTGTAAATCATATTATGGCGACATCTATTATTACGTAAAGAGACTAGATGCAAGCTAATAGTCTCCAGTAAAACATTTCCGGCCCGCATCGTGTTTCGTAGGAATCTTCATTTCGCTTTGATGCTTAGTATCGTATACATCAAGTACAAGGTGTTTATTTACCTGCAAACTTTCGATGCTGCAGGTGGTAAGTACTTCGATTTTTTAATTATTTTGGTTTAATAATATGAAATATTGTATTATCTCGATATGCAACTAGTTATTTGTTGAGTTTCTCGTGTTTTTTCTTCTCGAGCAAAAAAAACAAAAAATTACATTTTGATTTCAACTATGGTCCTATCTATTTTTTTGAAACATAGTTGTGTGTATGAATGGGTTATATCCAGTTAACCTATGAAAGGGTATGGACCATAGTTGCAACCAAAATTCTTGTTTATAGACTTTATTACCGTGTTTCAGTAGGTAGGCGATGGCCCCGCCAAACAAAGTTTTACGGCGCAAAAATAGGTGGCAGACCATATACCCCATACAGCACGGATGCAATGGAAATGATGTCTACCTGACGCTTCAGAAAAGTACAAGATACCTCGTAGTACGATAATACTGAAGCTAAAAGGTCATCGTAATAGCAACGTACTTGTTCCAGGTCGTAAATGTTTTTCTTCTCCAGAAGAAGAAAAATCATTCGTCGATAACGTTGTTCTACTGTGCGATTATGGAAAACCGGCATATTTCCCCTTTGTGCAACTAAATTGTTAGAACGATTACCAGGTTATACTTGCCCTGTCGTTGGAGAAAATACAGAATATTTTTTTCAAGTATAATTTTTATTGCTTGACGCTATTGTTGGGTTATATGCTTCCAACAATAGTTACCCCACTTATTGCAATAAATTGCTTATGGATCATAGATGTATACAAAGTCCAGAAATATGGTCCAAAATTCAACAAAAAAATTGTTAAACAATATTTTGAAAAAACTAAACACATCAACTAACTTCTTAAAAGCTTATAAGCTTGCTACTCCATAAGAATATTTTAAAGTAAGTCAGGTTGAAAGTTGTAACGCGTATTCCAAAAAATCACTAAAAGTTGGACCATTCTTGTGTGAAATTATGATGTTTTGTTTTTTTAATGTTACATCACATCTAGATCACGAAAAAACATATCACTTATCTCTGTCGGTATGTCTGTCCGCTAATCCTTGGCCCGTCCATTACTTGAGAAGTACCTGTTGGACTTTGGTGAAAGGTTCACTGAAGGACAAAAGGTTTGTTGTTTTTGAAAACCGGTTCAGTGGCGGCGGCGAAAGAGGCCAAAAATGAAAAAAATAAATAAAAACCGCTCAAGCTTCGTTTTTCTTTCATTTTAGAGGACCCAAACCATTTTCAAGAAACTTTTGTAGGGGCAAAAAACTAGATGTTGGAGGTGCTTGTTGGTGCTAGAGATTCATACTTTCCCAACCCTTGTAACCCTACGCACCTATCAGACACATTTCATACATTATAGATTTCACCGAATATTTGCCCCTAAAACTTGAATGAGATGTTTACGGTATACGTGTCGGAAAACTCAACAAGCGTACGTCCGACTGCTTTGAATGCTGAGAGATAACTGAATGATGATGCGTATATTTGGGTATGCAACCCCGTGCTGGGTTGCCACGTTGCTGGGTGCTCGGTACTGTCGGTACGGCGGTAGGTTAGATCGCAATGTTGTTAAATCTCTGAGAACCATGGTCTAATTTTATGATTTAATTCCTTTGTTATACGAGCCCCTTCTCACTTCAGTTGGCCCAACTATTGAAATCTTAGTTTTTTCTTATCAAACACAAATAATAAAAATTATAGCACGTTGCAAATACAGCATATCAACCTATTTTCATTTCAATGCAAAATAAGTCTATAACGCATAGGTGGCTGTGAAAAATAAAAGTCATGACAATTGTTTTTATTACTCACAGCTGTCAGAATACGTTTAAAATAGTTTTGGGTAGTTAAGGTTTTCAAAATGGGCAGAGGAAAGGTTATTAGTGAGAAAATTCGGTTACTGATAATTTGATTTTTTAATTCTGGGAAATCAAACTCAGAATTTACAACTTTGTTAGTCTTGACGCGGTACAGTGTGAGAAATATTGTTAGAAGATATAACGTAACTGGTTCAGTTAATATTAAGCCACGATATGTGAAAAAAAGTAATATCACAAATTCCGACCGAAGAGCATTAAGAAGAATAATCGTGAAAAATAGGCGTGCTAATTATTTACAATTAAGTGCTTTGTGGAGTGACGCTGTTGGAAGGAGAATTTCGAGGTCCACAACTCATAGAGAGGCCCACAAACTGGGATTTAGCACTTGCAAGGTAAGTTTTCTTATAAAAAAAGTGAAGTAAAAACCCTAAAGTTGCACAACTTGTTTATAGGCCAAAGAAAAGCCACTATTAACTCCACTGCAAAAGAAAAATCGGCTTAGATGGGCTAAAGAACACACACAATGGACACCTCAACAATGGTGTGCAATACAATGGAGGGATGAGGCCCGATTCGAAGTTTGTGTTGGTGACAGTCGCAGTATAGTTATTCGCAAAAAATGAAGCATTCCATGTTGACTGTGTGAAGAGGAAAGTGACATTTCCAGCATCCATTATGGTCTGGGGCAGTATGTCATCAAAAGGAGTAGGAAAACTTCATTTTATTGATGGAAATGTGGATACAAACAAATATTTGGCAATTTTAGAAGAATCGCTTTTACCAGTGATGGAAGAATGTTTGACATCCGACCAAGGTTTTGTGTTTCAGCAAGATGGTACAGCGTGTCGTACCTCAAAAAAGGCTATAAAATGGATGGAAGAAAATAATGTACTACTTTTGAAATGGGTTTCTAGCAGTCTAGATCTGTCACCTATTGAAACTTTGTGGCACAAGATAAAAAAGGTTCTACGGCAACATCCTGCTCGTACAATAACCAAACTTGGTTAACACTATTCCCCAAAGAATTTTAGCCGTAATAGAAAATGAAGGTGATGTTACCAATGGTAATCTTTCAATTGTTGCTTTGTTAACTTCGCGCAGTTATTCGCACATTGTTTATCTGTTCAGATGTTCTAATAGTTATAGGTCTAAGTGATTTCAAATATGTATTTTTTACGACTAGAGTGTATCTAAAATGCTTTTGAGAAAATAAATTGTTTTAGAAGTAAATAGTTTCGTCATGTTTAGTTTATAAGGGGATATTTTGGTACAAATCTTGAAGTGGGCCAACTGAAGTGGGAAGGGGCTCGTACATGTTCTTAACCCTTTTTTTCTAACTGCATCAGGGACTGACTTGTTCCGGATATAATCTTTATGAATTCATGGCAGCGTTGCCTAGGAAGTGCAGAGTTAACCTTCGTGATGCCATGTTTATACTTGTGTAATCATGTAGATACTGATATGCAGAGTCCTGTCATTCAAACGCTATGTATATTAGATACTAGAGACATGAATTACTACCGTATTAGGCTGTTTCGTCACCGCATCTGGATAGATTATCGTTAAATAATATTTATTCTGCCTGCATTATTTTTAATGCATGTGTTTTACTTCCACTCCAGCAAATATTTTGGAAAAAATAAAGAATGAAGAAAGAATATAAACAAACTAAAGTATTGATTTGTATTAACCTTCTAGTGGCCCTTTTTAGATGGAATTGGAATGGATTTTTTTTTTGTGGGGGGGGGGGGAATGCGTTTATGCACCATACCATGGCCCGAGCTACGGCGTGTGTGGGACTCCAGGTTGTCTTGAGGAGACCACCTAATACCCACTGAACCCTAACCTCCGCGTGGCCCGACTCATCAGCGTCTCGGTAGGCCATGTGTTGTGCGTGACCTGCGGTCTGCTACAACGTCTCCTCATGTATTTCAGTCTCTGGGAACGCCGGGTTGGTTCCCTTTACCTCGCACATTCTATTGATGTCGCTAAGCGATCATCGATAGAGGGTCTGCTAGGTTCTCTTGAAACCCTTGTTTTCGAAAAATCAAGAGATTCAAGTCCTCTTACCTATATATTGTTCCTGGTCCTGGTCCTGAAGGGTCCTGGTCCTGGTGGGTCCTGGTCGTGGCGGGTCCTGGTCCTGGTTGGTCCTGGTCATGGTGGGTCCTGGTCCCGGCGGGTCCTGGTCCCGGCGGGTCCTGGTCCCGGCGAGTCCTGGTCCCGGTGGGTCCTGGTCCCGGCGAGTCCTGGTCCCGGTGGGTCCTGGTCCCTGTGGTTCCTGGTCCTCTGCATCCACGCCGTGGGGGGGGGGAGCAACCGCGGGTTCTCCTAGTCTCCTAGTCAAGGTTCCAGTTAGCGGGTGCCAACTGGGACCTTGGTCTAGGGTACCTGGTTCTGGATCGTAGCTGCTCGTTCGGGTGGTCCTGAGCTTTCTGGAAGGTCATCTCCGCTTTTTTTACTAATGACTATAAATTGCATCAAGTGACCAACGGAAAAGAGTAGCACTTTCTTCAACTATAGGACACTTCTTCCTATTTTTAAGACTACACATAGGAAAACACAATACTCGATGAAAAAAAGCTGATAATCTTTTTTTGTTACAGGCTTCTGAGCTCATTCACCTCCGTAAAAAGTGAAGATTTCGAAAAATCAGTCAGTTTCTCGAGCGGAAATGAAACTGCTATCGAAGCGATCACCGAAAAGCTAACTGAAGTTACCCTTCTGGCAGAAGAGTTGGAACAAGCGTTGCTGAGCGCAGAGCAGGACTGTCTAGTGTTCGCAACGACATCGAAGTTGACGTTTTCGAATAACGTTACCAAGAATTTGAACAGGAAGAGTATGGAGGGAAGACGAAGCTCCACTGAGGTATGAATCAGATTTATTATGTACGAAGGCCATTTTTAAACTAAGAACGTACCCACAGAACCTGTCAATTGACGTTTGTGCAGCCTCAGACTTTCTTGGCCAGTATTTCACTATACCCCGATTGTGAAGTGCACCAATGCCCGTATTTATAAAGCTCACTTGAGGATTACTCAATTGTAAGGCGCCCTTTAGTCGAGATTTCACTTTTATAGTCGGCTTGTCTGTCTTGAGGGACCCTTAAGTTTCTATCAAACTTGAGGGAGCATCAAAGGTACCTTGTGGACTCCTTCAGTTGAATATTTGGTACCTATGTTAATGTCTTTGATATTTTGTGGTTAGAAAAATAATGGATTCGGAGAATTTTCTTGATTTTATCGAATGGGTAGAATATGTGGAAGAAGCAGGTTCAGCAGGAAGGATTCCCAAACGTTACATGAGAGATGCGCAGGATCCTTTTGAATTTTATGAAGATGTTGAATTCAGGCGACGGTATAGGTTCTCAAAATTTATAGTGAGATATGAAACTTTGCCACTTGTGAATGAGGCCTTGCAAAAAAATTCAAACCATGTTTTACCAATACTTCTTACTCTTAGTTTCTCTACGGTTTCATGCTACAGCAAATTATACTTCCAATACATCAACTAACATTCCTAGTATTAACCCTTAACCAATCATGTGGAGTCATCCACGGTAGTAACGCGTCCTGGCCAATCGGGTCACCCAATCCCTCGCCTATTGGTGCCAGACAAGTCATACGATGTTCAGTGCATTCATTTTATTTGAAGACGAAACACAGGCATTATTTGGTGTGTAGGGGTCTGCCAGGCGTCACCTATCCGTTTATGTGAAAATTGTTTAAATTGCGATATGGCCGGTCCATCGAAAAGAGTTCGGTTAAGTGACAAAAATTTTGAGGAAATTGTCCTCAAGTGGTACAGTGAAGTTGACGACACTGCCAGTGATATAGATAGTGCTGCAGAGGATGAAAATATTGCGTCAGAACACGACACGGACTCAGACTTGTCGGCAGGCGGTGATAGTGACCAAGACAAGTGACACCCAACAGACGGACAATAAATACTTCTATAGCAAAAACCGCTTTAGATAGTCCTCTACCGAAGTTGTTCCTTCATCGCGAACTAGGAAGCACAACTTGGTGACAAAGGTTCCTGGGATAAGAGGACAAGCCCGTGATTTAGGCAACAAGGCAAGTCAGCCGATTCTCGAATGGACAAATCAGAAGCTTTCGCAAATGCGCTCAGGATACGCAGATACAAATAGTATCAGTCACCTTAGAGATACCGATATAGTTGAGCTGAAGGCTTTTCTTGGCCTGTTGATATACACGTCAGTATTCAACTCCAATCATGAAAGTATCGATACAATATTTGCTACTGATGGAACTGCTAACTGATGACCCAGCTACAAGATCGATTCGTAAAAAAGAAGACCCAGCGGCAGCAATTTCGGGAATGTTTCATAAATTTATTGAAAATTGCCAAAAATTGTTATGGTATAGAGGAGTCACTAACCATTGACGAAATGCTCGTTAGTTTCAGAGGACGTGTCCTTTTCAAAATGTATATGCCTAACAAGCCCTGTAAGTACGGGATAAAGGTGACGTGGCTTACAGGCGCCAGAACTAGTTATCTTTACAATGCCTACATATATACTGGTAAAGACTCTGTTGGCTTTGGGTTGCCTGCAGAAGAAAGAAGATTTTCTAAGCCGACACAATCAGTGATACGTCTTGCAAAACCTATTTTCAGAAGTAACAGAAATATAACTGACAATTGGTTCAGCTCTATAGAACTTGTTGGCCTGCTAATGAAAAATGGACTAACTTACGTAGGTACACTAAAGAAAAATGAACGAGAAGTACCAACAGAATTCTCACCAAACAAGAAAAGAGAAGAAGGATCATCGTTGTATGGATTTCGTGAAGATATGACTTTGGTTTCTTATGTGGGAAAGAAAGGAAAAGCAACACTATTAGTTTCTTCTATGCACAATAGGCGCTACACGGACCCTGAAACCCAAAAGCCAGAAATAATTTCTTTTTATAACCGGAATAAAGGCGGTGTAGATACACTCGACGAGAAATGCTCGAATAGTTCGACAAGCCGGCGAACATGTAGATGGCCGCTTGGAATGTTCTTCTGTATTCTTGATGTATCTATTGTAAATTCATTTATTTTACATCAAGCTTTCAAAGACAATGAGGTGATAAAAGATAAATCAGTATTTGCAAAACAACTGGCTGCTGAATTAGTTCGAGAAAATATGAAAAGAAGACTAGCAAATGATCGAGTGCCTCGTGAAATACGCAGCAATATTAGTAGAATTTTGAGGCTACCGGAAACAAACGAAACACAGAATGAAGGGGCGCTTTTGCTTACAACACGTAAATCATGCTATTTGTGTCCTGCAGCAAAATATCGCAAGACAAAGTATCTCTGTGTGCAGTGTAGACGGGCGATTTGCTTGCAGTGCTCAAAGCCTCTATGCAATACGTGCGCAAAAAAGACGGTTGATTAGTTTCTGCTATAGGAGCATTTCACTGTTATTTTCCTTTGAGTTCTATTTTCTTATATAGCTTAGGTTCCTAAAAAATGTTTCAGACACATATTTTCCTACTTAGGTCGCTAATGTTTTTTTTTGCGAGCTTGTAAGAATACATGTTTAATTAGGTCAAGTTACGATATAATTTTCCAGATATTTGCTGTTGTCAGAAACCAATTTAGAAAAAAACCGTTTTTCCTCATTTACATGTAGTAGTAGGATCCCTTTTGCTTTATACATAACAATAATAAATTATTTCCAAAAAATAACTTGTTTTACTATCTGCCCAGTTAGTGGTCTGTGAGACCGAACATGGATTTTTGCGTCCAGATGACTCACATGATTTTTTTTTTATTTCCATACAGACAATATATAATTCTATTGGAATTGTCAATTTTTCGTTCGCTACAAACCTACAACTAATCTCAAATTGCAATGTTCAAAAATTCATCAACACGATAAAAACACTTGTTTATCAAAAATTGCTTCAACAGGAACTTAAAGTCGTTAATATTTTTAACCCAGGTAATGTGGCATGGTGAATTATTAAAAAGAAGCGGACCAATTTTATTAGGTGATCGAAATGCCGCTTTTGATTTGCTAAAGTTTAACATATAAATTATTACAAGTCCTTGTATCATAATTATGCATATCACGATCCCGCTTGAATTTTTCATTATTTTTAAAAACATGTTTGTAAGCACAATTCATATATACGTATATACAACGAAGGGACAGTTAAAATGTTGAAACTTATAAAATGTTTTTTGCAACTTACTGTTGGTGAGATGCCTGTTAATGATCGGATGAATCTTTTTTGAGACACAAATACATCTTCAGAGCGCGTTGACCAACCCCAGAAACATACTCCATATCTTAATCTCGAATCCACATTAGCAAAATAAACTTGTATCAATTGTTCAGCTGTTAAGATGGTTTTTAATTGCCTCAACACATAGCTTTGAGAGTACATTTTTGATGTGAGAAATTCGCAGTGGGCCTTCCAATTTAAGTTCGAATCAAAATTAACTCCAAGAAATTTCACTTCTCCTCTAAAATCGAGTTGATCGTCACCCAAATTACTTGAAACCCTTCTACAGTTTTTTGAGCATGATGGAAACGAATAAGCGTTGTTTTGGAAGGATTCAAATAAAGTGAGTACTGGTTAAACCAAGTATTGATATTCCTAATTAAGTTATTACATTTATCTTCCAAAATTATATTTGAATTACTTGATATTATCGCAGAAACGTCATCAGCATATGCTGTAAAATGGTAGGTTAAGAGTTAAATATAGTAATAAAGTTTGTTTTGTAGGAAGTTGCCGGAGACCTTCGAGGTATTTCCCAAGCCTCTGCCCCTTTAATTATAAGGAGGGAAATTTCCATATAATTTAATTACTCGGCAAAATAATATAAGATACTTTTTTCGAATGGCAAATTTTCCTAATGTGGCGGCTTGTGCGGAAGGAACACATATATCAATAAAAAACCCCGGTGGCAATATAGGACAAATATACAGAAATATAGGAAGGAATAGTTTTCCATTAATGTTCAAGTAAGAATATGTCATAAGTAATAATCTAATTCATAACTTATTATTTTTTATTGTTCATACTACTTGCCTTTCGATAAAGAATAATAAAATTAGGGCATTATTATTTTTATTCAGCATGTGGACCAAATTTGAAAATTTTAAATCTTGTTGCAAGACATCTACACATGACACTGTTATATTTGAACAAAGTGGTCTACAAGTAAAATTTGAAAATAATGAGGTACAAGGTATGTGATCAGTATTCTATTGCATTTATGTTTAAATGTAACAACTCATTTTAGGAATTCTATTATGTGACAATGGTTATGCATGCCGAAGGTATTTGTTAACTCCTGTTATAAATGCTGTAACAGAGTCAGAAGAAAATTACAATCGAGCACATATAAGAACTGGCAATATAGTTGAACGGGTTTTTCGTGTCTGGAAAAGAAGATTCCCATGCGTGAGAAGAACACTTCAAACTAAAGAGCAAACTTCAATCGCTATATGTTCAACAGCAATTTTAAACAACATTGTTGGAAACTTGAATGATGTCTTTGAAGAAAATGAGCTTAATGAAGATGGTGATTGGGTTGATAATATCATTATTGTTAATGATCGACCAGGGGATGGACTGGCCTTTAGACGAACTTTTATAGTAACTCATTTTTAATACATAAAAATTAAAAACTTCATCTGGAGAATCTATTTTACTACAAAATTTGTAATATGCTGTTTCTTTGCTGACAAAAGTAAACTTTAAATACTTTTCAAATAAACACAATATGTAATTAACCACTTTATTGATACAACTTTTTTAATTTGTTTCCCAACATAATTTTTCTGCCTCGGCTGCCTGTTTTTTAATCAAATGGAGTTGTTCATCGTCCTCCATGGATCT